TCTGATGACGCGATAAGAGCGGCAAAATAGCTAGATTTTGCCGCTTTTATCACCACTAGGTAGGTCTTAATATGAGACCTTACCAGTGTCAAGTCAGACTCGGAACGACTGGCCCTCCAACTGCTCTCTAGGCGTCTTTTCCGGCGCTTCATCACCCTCAGCTCCTCGGAAAACCAAGGAGCTAAGTGAGTTCGGTGCCGGGTCAGAGGCCGCAAAGGCACGACCCGATCCAAAGCCCTGGCAGCCGCACTATCCCAGGCGGCCAACAGGTCATCAGCCGAGTCATGAGCTAGAGTCTCAGGAAATAGCCCAAGCTCCATCTGGAACCTATCAGGGTCCATCAGGCGCCTGGGGCGGAACCACCTGGTCGGTTCCGCCTCCCTGCGACGGGGTACGGCGGTCAGAAAGTCAAGTCGAAGGAGCGAGTGGTCAGACCATGACAAGGGTTCAATATCTACATCCCCTATATCAAGGCCACTCAACCACTGACCAGAGATAAAAACTAAGTCCAGAGTGTGTCCCCCCATATGAGTAGGGCCATGAATTACTTCGGTCAGGTCCATGGCCGTCATGGAAGCCATGAACTCCCGAGCTACCTCAGATGTCTCACCGATGGATGGCAGGTTGAAATCCCCCATGACCACAAGTCTGGGGGTATCAGCCGCCACCTCGGCTATAACATTGAGGAGTTCGGGCAGGGTCGTTGCCACGTGGCAGGGAGCCAGGTACGTGATCAACAGACCCATCTGCACCCCACGACCCCACTTCACAAAAAGGGACTCACATCCGGCTATCTGAGGTACAGTGGTCTCCCTCGGATCAAGACCTTCTTTTAAAATGACCGCCACCCCCCCGCCCCTGCCCTGAGCTCTCGGCTGATGAAATGCACGGAAGCCTGATGGGCACATCTCCACGAGGGGAACTCCCCCCTCATGGCCCAACCAGGTCTCCGTGATACCTGCCAGGTCCGCTCCCCCCTCCTGAATAAGATCACAAATGAGGGGGGCTTTATTTACTACGGACCTGGCATTACATAACATCAGCCAGAGACTCGGGCGCTGAGACTCTAAGCAGCCTGGGGAACGGGAAGAGCTAAGGGGACCGGGGCACGCAATCGCTCGAAGATAGCGAGCACGTGCCCCCACCACATGATATGGCCCCCTGCTCCCGCCATACCTGCCCCTCCCACTCAGCGTGTTAATAGAGAAGCCCTCACTAGAGGGCATTCTAACAGTCCCCTTTCCCCCAGAGTCCGTACCCCCTACGGCACCATTAATAGCAGCCGGACTGGTCTCCAACCCCCATGGGTTTTCCCCAAAACCCACATAACCTCCCCCACCCTCAGAACCCCTTAAAAGTCTAATTAAAAAAGTCTTTAAAAAACCCCTCAATCCCCTTTTTGCGACATGCCACCTCTCGGGGTCCCAAGATCCGTCATTAAGGTGGGCCCTCGATAACATAGAGGGCCAGGCCTGCGAGAGGGGGGAATCTCGCAGCACAAGAAGCTTTGCCCTAGAATACATTTTAACACTAGAGTGATAATACAAGTTTGGCCTAGACATGGCCTAAGACACCCCTGAAGTGACGAAAAATTCATTGAAAGGTGTATTGAAGGTTCAAAAGAGTGAAGAAGCGGCAGAGTTAGAAGAAATACTTAGATGAAACACGAATGAGATAAGAAAATACAAGATCCCATGGGAGGAGTATGGGAAATGTACCAAGAAGTCAACAAGAGTTGAGATACGAAAACAGGCAAGAGATGAGGGATAAATGCAAAATACTGCTTAACGCAGGAGCTATTCCATTTATAATTAGTATAAAGATAGAAATTAGAAATGGGGAAAATATTACTTTTTAAATTTTGGAACTGTTCTATTAATGGGTATAAAATAGCAGAAGTTAGAAATCTGGATATGTAAACAAAGATGAGAAAGGCGGGGCTAGATGAATCACAAGTTGGAATTAAGATTGCTGGGAGAAATATCAACAACCTCAGATATGCAGATGATACCACTCTAATGGCAGAAAGTAAAGTGATGCGGGTAAAGGAAGAGAGTGCAAATGTTGGCTTGAAACTCAACATTAAGAAAACTAAGATCTGGCCCTCTCAATTCCTGGCAAATAGATGGGGAAGAAATGGAGATAGTGACATTTTATTTTCCTGGGCTCCAAGATCACCACAGAGGGGGGCTGCAGCCAAGAAATTAAAAGATGCTTGCTCCTGGGGAGGAAAGCTATGGCAAATCTAGACAGCATACTAAAAAGCAGAGACATCACCATCAACACTATCGTTTTCCCTGTTGCAATGTATGGCTGTGAAAGTTGGACCATAAGAAAGGCTGAGCACCAAAGATTTGAGGCCTTTGAACTATGGTGCTGGAGAAGACTCCTGCGAGTCCCTTAGACTGCAAGGCGATCAAACCGGTTAGTCCTAGAGGAGATCAACCCTGACTGCTTTTCCAATCCTGAAGACAAAACTCAAATACTTTGGCCACTTAATGAGAAGGAAGGACTCACTGGGGAAGAGCCTAATGCTGGGAACGATTTGAGGGCTGGACTCCTGGGGATAGTAGAGGACATGAAGGCCTAGAGGAACATTGTCCATGGGGTCACGATGGGTCAGACACGACTTCGCAACTAACAACAACAACGATGAAGTAATTTGTGTAATTGAATAATGAACATTGAATAATTAAGATAAGTAAACCTTATGATTAGTTGGAAGTTAATGGTTATAAATGTGATGTTTACTTGATGTTTATAATGTTTGATATTATTAATGGATTATAGATAAAATTGAACAGAGGGCCTAATTAAATAACACAAAATTTTCAACAAGGATAAGTAAAGATGAGTATTGAGGTATTGAGAATAATAGTTAAAACTACTGTGTGATAAGATTTACTATCTGTATTCAATAGAGATTGTAGAGATTGTACCCAGACGGTATACTGTTATTGTGAATATAGAAATCTTATACATAACCAAGAAAATTGTACAATAAAAATAATAATAACAGAAAAAAGAGTCTTCTCATGGCCGCTAATATGAAGAAATATATATAATTTAAACATTTTTATTTCTGTTTTTAGAAATTTGTAACTGAGAAAGCACAGTATGCCTCCTTTGTTATGATGCAGCTATATTAAAAAAGACAGCTTTTTTTACTGATTGTCTTTCTAAACCATAACATTTCTTTCATTAAAGAACAATTTATTAATTCTTTAAGGATTCATTGTGAAATGCATTGGTTGACAGTTTTGTTTGGCATTCTTTTCAAAATAAAACAATAGCATTTTTAATAATCTGCACAACAAAATCCACAGTAAATTTTGGGGCCCTCTGCTTACTAGATTTGTGACAAGCATTAAAGAGGCAATCAGTGAAGAAGTTTGGTTTCCATAGCAGTGACGATGTTATCTAAGGAGTAAGGAAGTTGCATGTATTTGCCTGGTTGTCATGACTGAGAATCTGGCTGGAACAACTTTCACAATTAGAGTGTTTCAGAAGCATTTGAAAATAGCAAATGCTAACCAGAAGCTATACATCTTCATAAATTACAATTCCAAATTACATACTGTGTAATTACATATTTAAGATTTAAGACTTTCTTTAAATGAAGTATTATGTTTTAAAATCACTGATGTTCCTAGTATTTTTGTAGTCTCAATCAGATCTATTGTTTATAAGGATATTTAACAAAATTTTTAATCTGTTTTTGATAAATTCTTGGATTCCTGATACTGCTCCAGACTTCTGGAAGTTCTGTTGCCTGATTGTTTGCTAATGGGAGCAACCAATCCAAAAATAATAATAATAATAATCATGTAACAATGAAAATTCTAAAAATGAATGCTAAATGAGGTAGAGAAATATTGAGAAAGTTTCAGGGTTAAAAAAGGTATTTTTTTGTTTCCTGCTTAGTAACAAATACACAAAGATTTTTTTTTTCTGTATAATTTTTGATTTGATTAATGTGAAATTGTAAGTATTTCCAAATGGTCACAATTATTCTAGTTAAAGCCCTGTAGTGAAGCTCTTATCATTTTTCTTTTCAATTATAATCTGAAAGAAATCATAGGAGATAAACAATACCATCCTATTAATAGGAAAGACTTTCACTTTAGATATTTTAAGGAGTTTTATTCTGCATTTTAATGAATAAATGGACCTGCCTGTTAATAGGCTAGACTGCTGATCCATCTGACATAGACTTCTCTATTAGTTGTGCTTTATGACAGGAAGACCTTTTTTTAAAAATGGGCATTTTAATTCTATTCAAATGCACTATACATGGCCTATAAAATATCCAAATCAGAAAATACAGAAAAAGGAGAAAGAAAACAAACATAAAGAAGGTTTATTTAGCATTCATACAAAAAGACTTATAGATATCTTCCATGTTGTAAAATTTAACAGTAGGCATATATAAAATTTCAGAAAAGAGTATTACTGAGTGTAGGCTCCCATAGGAAAAGCTCCTACACAAGCAGTTTCAGGATCTCTAGGTCTACATATGCAGTAAGACTGTCCCAGTTGTCAATGCTTAACTAAATAATATAGTCAACAGCTAGTTCTCATTTAGCAACTGTCTCAGGAAGTAACCATTCACAAATATGATGATAATCAACAGTACTAAACAGTAATAAAAATAATTTACTGAGTAATGAGTACCCTTATGCTCAAATTTCTGCACCTGAAAACAAACGCTGGAATGAGAGTAACAACTGGCGTTGGTTGCTACCAGCAGTCGCAGTCGCATTCTCTCTCCTTTCCTATCTTTCATATGGTTTACTTAGGGATCATGTAACTGGAACCAATTACAGTTGCTAAATGAGGCCTAACATAAAAATTAAAATGATATTTCATGGAAGTGCATAGAAAAATTCCAGCCCTTATCTAGTTAGTTATGATCTTGTAAATTCTTACTAATTAATATGTTTGTTCAAATGATAAATATTTACTGTCTTGGAAGTTTAAAATTCATTATGTTTTGCCAGATATATGGAGTCTGGGAGTTATTCTTTACATGTTGGTATGCGGACAACCACCTTTTCAAGAAGCAAATGATAGTGAAACTTTGACTATGATAATGGATTGTAAATACACAGTACCATCTCGGGTGTCCAAAGAATGTAAAGAGTAAGTAAATGATTCTATAAAATTCCTTGTAATTAAAAGCATTATGCCAGTAATTTAAATATGGGCAGTAAATACAGTGGTGAAGACTGGGGGGAACCCAGTTCATATTTTCATTTCACCACATACAAAGTCTCTCTCTCTCTCTCTCTCTCTCTCTCTCTCTCTCTCTCTCTCTCTACACACACACACACACACACACACACACACACACACACACACACACTAATCTATATCCTCAAGATTTCTTCAAGGATCAAATGGAAGAATTGTATATACTATATTGAATTCCTTAGAGGAGAGGCAGGATATAAATGAAAAACATGTTAAAGAATGAAGTAATTTATTCCCATTCTTCAAGATATCCACATATTTATTTATGAACATACTTTTTCTTCTATTTAATAATTATGTGTTCCCTCCTTATTTTGCATTCACTATTCTATGATTGGTTCTGGTTCTAGAAGACATTGCTGATTAAAATTCTGTCATAGGATAAAATATTATTTTAAGCTTTAAAGTTATAACTATTCTGCTTTTGTATGAGAAAGTGATTTTTAATGACATAGTATGCTCATATTACATTTCCATGCCTATTTTTTAAGAATGCTTTGAAAAATTAATGAGAACATGAATTTTTCAGCAACTGTATTTATTTATTACATTTATATGCTGCCCACCTCACTTTTCAAAGCGACTATGAGTGACTTACAATTAAAACTATAAAAATAAAAATATTTAAAACATTAGATACAAAGATAAGAAATAAAAGGAAAGATCAGTAGAGTGGTGACATCTTCTCTCTCCACCAGCCACCTTCATTGTGGACTGCCCTCATCAGGGTCCCAAGACAATCAATAGAGCCAGGTTTTAACACTCTTTGGGAAGACAAAGAGTGGAGGCAGACCTTACTTCAGGTGGCAAGATATTCCAAATAACAGGGGCAGGCTCTCCTTCTACACCTCTAAAATTATTCGATCAGTGGGGCCACAGCATATCCTTTTTCTTGAATTGAGTGAAATAGGCCAATATCTCCTCAGAGAACCTAGTCCAGTAATGGCTAACCTTTTCTGGATCGAGTGCCCAAAGCACACACAGCCTCCCTGCATGCATCCTGTCCCCCTGCGCATGTGCACATGCCCCCCGCATGCCTTCCGCCCCCGTGCATGTGCGATAGAGACCCAACGATCAGCTGGCTGGCGGGAGGTGTGCGCATGCGTGGCAGAGCTGAAGTAGGGGGATGGTTTGCATGCCCACAGAGAGGGCAATGCATGCCATCTGTGGCACACGTGCTATAGGTTCGCCATCACGGACCTAGTCCCATGCTATGAAAGGTTTTAAAGGTGATAAGCAACATCTTAAATTGGACCCAGAAGCAAACCAGGAACTGATGCAGTATATATGTATATTATAAATACAAATATGATGAGAACTTGTATATTGTAAATCTTCCATTTATATAATGGGAGCACTGGTGGCACAGTGATTTGAATGCAGTATTGCAGGCAAACCCTGCTTACTGTCTGGAGTTCAGTTCTGATGGGGTTCATGGTTCCATCTGAGTTTGGTAAAATGAGGACCCAGATTGTTGGGGGAAATATGCTGACATCGTAAATTGCCCAGAGAATGCTATAAAGTGAGCATCCCCTCACTTAATGCTGTGATCTTCAGTTTTCAAGCTACTTTTATATTTAACGTTATATAAGTGTAAAACTTTCTAAAATGTACTAAAAAACAAATCAAAACACCGCATTAAACAAAACTTGCTTATGTGCTTCCTAGTTTCTAGTTGCAGTAATTGTTATCTTCTATAGAAATCCTTACCAAGTCAGATCCAGCTTACCTATTAAGATAAAAATAAGACTAGATAGGTGCTATCACCTGCTGTGACTTAATATCTTTTAAACTCAAATGAATTTATATGGTGTTGGACTTGGAAAGTATCTCACATAGGCCTGTGTAATAATTCTAAAAAATTATGGAGATCTAGTATCTCAGTAAAATAATGCTTAATGGGAAGAATTCTACTAATGATATAACCAATTATATGTTGAGTAAGAACCGGTTGTATTATAAAAGAAAAACATTTTTTGGAATAAACCCATATGTAATGATGCTAATATATGCTTGTATTTTTCTTGCTAGTTTAATTACACGAATGTTACAAAGAGATCCCAAACGAAGGGCATCTTTGGAAGAAATTGAAAATCACCCTTGGCTACAAGGAGTTGATCCATCACCTGCAACAAAATATAATATTCCTTTGGTTTCATATAAAAATCTTTCAGAGGAAGAGCACAATAGCATCATACAGCGCATGGTTCTTGGAGATATTGCAGATCGAGATACTATTGTGGAGTAAGTAACATTTTATACAGTTTTATAATTCAGTATGTAGCTGTTTTTATTCTGTTACAAGAGTATAATAGAACATCCTTTCTCAGTTTAGTGCCCTCCATAGGTGTTTAGATTTCAGTTCCAGAATTAATAGCTATCATAGTCAACAGCCATTTTATGTGGTAATTATAAATATTTAGTCCAGAATATGCAATTGGAAAAGCACATGCAAAAGCACAAGAACTTCTGTGGCATCCTAATTGGGTTATATAACATCTACTCTGTAAGTCCTTAATATCTGGTTTTCAGAGAAATTCCTTCATGTCAGATGTTTATTTCACACTTTTCTACTTTAATTTGAAGTTGTTTAGAACAATCATTTTGATTTTGATTTTTAAGACATCTACAATTTAAGCAAAAATTATTGACAACTAGTTAAAGATTTGTTCTAAACAGAAAACGTAACTATATAACCAGTTGTAATCTTTTCTAATCAGTTTTTTTTAATTGCTTCTGGAATCTTATGTGGCAGTGACTATACTAATATTCTCTTCTAACTGTAATTAGATAGATAGCAAAAGCATAGGAAAAATGCTGTAGCCTAAATGACTATAAGACATGTAAAATACCCCAATATTGTAGTACATCTTCTTCACTCCCACTCTGTGCATGTGTGTTTGTTGATGGGTTTTGAAGGCAGGTAGTTCTACCGTTTGACTTCCTAATACTTTTCCATATGTAAATAATTCCTGCATTTATATTATGTATCTGCATTTATATTATGTATCTGCTTATAATCTATTTAAAAGCTTTTTGAGCTTTTGAGAATATTTAGATCTCAAATAACAAAAATCCAAGACTGAATTAGCTCACTTTCTATATAAAATCTGTTACATTTAATAAATGCACATTTATTTTGATTAAAACTTGATTTAGGTCTCATTTTATATAATAAGTGTTGCAAATCTGTGCTAAATTCTTTTGAGCATTTGAGCAGTAGGTTGCTTGAATTTGATGTCTAACAATAATCTATCCGGAATCGACAGTGAGTGATTGGCTGCTCATATGACTTTTATATTTGTTTTTCTTTTTTGTAATAAGTTTTTATTTTATTTTATAACATATAAAAATTCCAGTTTCAATTGAACAGTGCATTGTCTGGGTACAAGTCATTTTAGGAAGTAATCAAAGTGTTTATAACAATATTCATTGCATTAATATCAATTATACTAATATTAATAACAGTAATAATCATACTATTTGTTTAACCAGTTTAACATATCTTCCTTATATCACTGATCCTTTCATATATTTCCCTGTTTCTAGCTCCTGTTTTTGTCACCTAGCTATTGATAAAATAATTCCCAAGTCAAAAATACTCAGTTTCTTCCTTTTCGTTAATTGTAGCTAATCCATTTCTGCACATTCCAATATTTTTCTAATCACATCTTCATCTCTTGGGATCTCTTCACTTTTCCATTGTTGTGCAAATACAATTCTTGCTGCTGTTAATACATGTAAAATCAGATATACATTCCCTTTATTATACTTGTCTGGCAAAATGCCCTACAAAAATGTCTCTGGTTTCAAGGCTATATGTTGTTTTATCATTTTTTCCAGCCATGTATTTATTTTGTCCAATATTTTTTTGATTTTTGACATGTCCACCACACCTGATAGTATGAACTGGTATCTGGTGACATTTCCAACATTTTGCAGAATTATCCTTAAACATCTTTGCTAATCTTGCAGGTGAAAAATGCCATCTATAAAACATTTTATAAAGATTTTCTTTGTATGCAGAAGACATTGTTAATTTATAATTTGTATCTCATAATTTCTGCCATTGATCTAACTCAATCGAATGGCCAACATTTTTAGCCCACACTATCATTGTCTCTTTTACTTGTTCATCTTCCATCTTAATACTTAACAAGTAGCTATATATTTTCTTTATTAATTTTTCATCTGTCCCTGTTAATATCTGATCTAATTGTGTTAATTCTTTATTTAAACCATACATTTTAACATCCTTTTTGTATCTAGATTGTATCTGCACATATGACCGCCATATTATCTCAATCCCTTGATCACTCAATTCCTGTTAGTTTCAAGTTCCCCCTTTTCATTTAAAATATCTTTACATCTGGTAACATTCACTATATCAATAACATTTAGATAAATCAGTGCCTCCATTGTTGAAAGCCAGACCAGTATTTTCAAATAGTGTTGTTCTTTAATTTTCTCCCAAACTGATAATAGTGCATTCCTAAAATAGTGCCTTTGAAAATAGCTATGTATTTTGTTTTTCTCATACCATAAGAAGGCATGCCAACCTAATTCAAGATCATGTCCCCCCCAATGTCAATAATCTTTTGTTCCTCAAACCAATCGATTCTTTTACCCAAGTAAGTATCAAAGCCTGATAATACAATTTTCAATCTGGTAGCCCAAAACCACCTCTATTTTTAGAATCTTGCAACATTTTCAAACTTATCCTCGCTTTTTTCCCTTGCCAGATATATTTTAATATTGTTTTATTTAATTCTTCAGAATATTTTTTCCAATTTTATTGGTATTGTTTGAAATAAATATAATAATTTTGGAAAAATATTCATTTTTATAGTGGCTACTCTTCCCATCAGTGATAGTTGTAGATTTTTCCAGTTCTCTAAGTCTGTTATGATTTATTGTGCCACTTTATAGTAATTATCTTCTTTAATTTACACACCTTTCCGTTAGTTGAATTCCTAAATATTTAACTTTCTTAACTATCTGTATACCTATTTTCCTCGTTAGTTCTTTTTTCTGTATGTCTATAACATTTTTAACTATTGTTTTGGTTTTTTCTTTATTTATATTCAGTCCTGCAACTTCACCATATTCTTCTATTTTCCTAATTAGTTTAAGTCCATTTTTTTTGTGGGTCTTCCAAGATAAAGACCAAATCATCTGCAAATGCATGTAATTTATATTGTTCCTTTTTTATTTCTATACCTTTAATTACTATATCTTGTCTAATATTTCTATTTAACACTTCCAATGTCAATATAAATAGTAAAGGAGATAGTGAACATCCTTGTCTTGTGCCTTTTTTATATTAAAATTCTCTATCGTACCTCGGTTTACCATCACCTTTGCCGTTTGTTTATGATATATTGATTTTATCATGTTAATAAATCTCTCACCAAAGTCCATAGATTTTAGTTATAATAACATAAATTGCCAATTTACATTATCAAATGCTTTCTGCGCATTTAAGAAGATGAACGCCATTTGTTTTCCAGGATGTGTTTCAATACATTCCAATGTATTTAAAATAATTCTCATATTGTTTTTAATCTGTCTATTAGGTAAGCAGCCATTTTGGTCTGAATGTATAAATTTAGAAACCTTTTTAGTCTCTCTGCCATTATTGAAGCATATATTTTGTAGTCAGTGTTCAGTAAAGATATGGACCTATAATTTTTTATCTGCATTAAATCTGAATGTTCTTTTGGAATCTAAGTAATATTTGCTTCCATCCACGAATTTGGTACCTTCGGATCAATCAATACTTCATTATAAACTTCCAACATTGATGGGCCTAGAGTATCTTGTAAGCATTTATAAAATTCTGCCAGCAGTCCATCTGATCCTGATGTTTTATTGCTCTTTTGCCTCTTAATCGATTCTGAGAATTCCATCATTGATATTCGTTCATTTAACACAACTTTTACTTTTTCTGGTACTTTAGGTAGTTCCACTTTCTCCAAATATCTTTAATTTTCTCTTCTGAAACTTTCTCTTGCTCATACAACTTTTCATAATAATCTTGAATTATTTTTTATCCTCATTTTGATAGTATAAAGTTCCTTCCTCATCTACTAGCCTATGTATCAATTTCTTCTCTTTCTCTGTTTTTAATTTGTATGCCGACCATCTTCCTGGTTTATTTGCGTTTTCAAAAAAGTTCTGTTTAGCTTACTTACTTTACTTTATTGATTAGCCCTTGGGCCATAACAAAGTGTAGAGTTCCAGACACAACTATTACTAAAATCTGATAAAGACAATTTAAAATGGAATTGGATAAAATACAATTTAAAATTAAATCGGAATAAAATACAGTTTAAAATGATAGCTTGATTAGCTATAGGCCATATCAAAGTACAAAGTGCAAACACATATCACCAATAAAATCTTATACAAACAATTTAAAATAGGAGTAGTTAGTTAGGAGTAGTTAGTAGTTATCCTATAACAATAGTTATAGGATAAGATACAATATAATTTAATACATAAATATATAAAATAGAATAAAATGACATAAAATTATATTTCAGTGTCACCCTTACAATCTACCCCAATCAGTCCCACGTATGCAGATCTCAACTGAACCATTTTGTTTAAGTACTGTGTTGTGTTAAATGTTATTTTCAGGTTCTGGCCGCACATAAAGTAAGTTGTTTTGATACGGGGATCTCAATGGGTCATTTGTTTGGTATATGGACCAAGGTACCTGTCTCTTACCTCCTTATACAAGCAACAATCAAATAGGATGTGAGCCAGGTCTTCTGCCGCTCTGCAAATGCAGAGACACTCATTGTAGGGTATAGAATGGAATCTCCCATATCTGACCATTGTGTCAAGCTGCTTGAATCTCGCTTGCGTAAATATCTCCCTAAGATGTTTTGGCAGTTGTAACGTCAAATAGCTGTCTACTTGAAAAGTATATTTGTATTTGCTCAGCCACTTCAAGTTACCCACCTTACTAAGGATATCTATATCATTTTGTGCTTCTATATCCTTATTCTTTGGGCAGTTCTTTTTTTGAATTGTTCTCCTGTTATGCAAGAGACAGGAAGGCCACAGCTTCTTACAAAAATTATTAGTTAGTAATCCAGGAGATTTGTGATTGTAATTTTATTTGCTCTAGTAGACATAACTTGGGGAGTCTATCAGTCTCCATTTCATTGACTTTGCCCCAGTAGTTATATGCTCTAATTTTGGATAGTGCATGAATTGTATGAATTCCCAGTTCA